ATGGGAAGAAGAAACAACAATGTTACTGACGTTATCTATTGATAAATTAGAACAAACCGCTTAATTTAAGCCAAAGTAAGATTTGAAAAAAAACATCACTAATTACCACCTAGATGATCTCATTTGCAAGATTAGTTGTATTCTGCGTCCGGTTTTTAGAAAGGCCAAAAGGTTGTCCTCTGGGTAATAAGATAGTAAGATAACCACAGAATTTCGATCTACCTACGATTCCAAAATGACACTTCCTACGGGAGAACAACTAAACTAACCTAGCTGAAACTTGTCTCGAGAAACTGGCGGAGATATGAGATAAGATTTAAATTGATTTTACAACTAGAGGCGCAATCATGAGCGGAAATGTACTGCAAAAAATCATCGACTGTTTTCTTCCCATTTACAGGGTCATTGAGTACAGTTAGCAAAAATGATCAGACCTATTTAGAGAGCCTTTACAAGGCCAATTAGCGTTTCTATATCCTATCTAAAATGAAAGAGTGAATACATTTGTGTATAATCAGGGTGACTTAGTAGACGCTAGAGTCACTGTTACGTATTACGTCAGCCTGGTTAGGTTGACAAGCGTCCTGCCCATTTTTGGAGCATAATTGAGATATCGTTACTGTTATGTTTTTCAAATCATCTAGAGTGCCTAGCAAATCAGGCAAACATGCCTCTGAACTCAACAAGCAGTTATTCTAAATAGCATGTTTCTCTTATTTTGGGTAATTTATCTCAGTATTTAGCAAATAACTACCAGGAAAAATCTTTGGTTGCAGTGTAATCACGACCATCTAAACCGCACAGATGAATACGACCTTTTATGTGCTCTAACGTGTTCCATTAAATTGCTTTAGTCCTGAAGCTGAGACAATCAATACATTCGCTTTCTTTACATTGTTAGGACGCGATCTCGAGTCGGTACACGCGAAAAACTAGTACGAGCTTCAGAAACAAGGCTCCCTCTAATCGACGACACGAAAAACCTATTTGCTAGCATCTTCGTTCACGGCTGTGGAGATTATCATTAGATAAGCAAGCGCAAAAAAAATTTGGACATCTTTTGGGTCGAACGGCAAATCTAGATTAGCTGCACCTGTGTTGTCGTGTGTGTGTGACTGGATAGAGCAGACGAAACTTTGTTTTGAGAAAAATTTCGGACAATGGACGATTTTATTTTACGCGATACCTAATGAATTTTCTGTTCCTCTGAAGTAACCACTTTCTGTTGCCAGCACATAATCTTAATTTTTGGCTGACTCTGCTTCTTTGGACGTGCTGTCTGTAAAGCTCTATTTCATTAGTAATTTTCAATATAAATTTGGGTAAATTACTTGAACTAAGCACATTTGATGTAACGTATGTGCATAGATACAATAGTGCCAAGTGGAGCTACCTTGACTTGAAACCAAGTTAAAATATTTAGGTCACTGGTATTACTGCAACAAGTTTTATTTAAAGGTCTTAAGGCATATTGATAGAAATTAAGTGACGATAGTTTCAATGGAGCCATTCATCATAAACTAGCAAAAAGCTTGGCAACGTATGCGCGACAAATGGCGAGTGCAGACTGGGGAAATCTTCTATATCGGACAAGGTAAATAGGCTCAATGTAGCTATAATATGGCTAGGCCTGACATTACCTAATATAGCCTGTGACAAACTGTTTCGCATCATATTAGTTAACGATTCAATGGTATTTTAAAATACAATTATCAGTCATGGTCATTCTCAGATAGGTTTTGGTTCGAGATCCGTAGACAAAAAAGGGCCATTGGTAAAATAATAATTCAGCCATAATATAGAATTTTATCTTTTACTAGTGAAATGGTTGACAATTGCGAAGGAATATCGGCTCTCTTATAAAACTTACTTGGCTTTACGGCCAAGACCTGCATTATACAATAAGGGAGAGAGAGAGAGAGAGAGAGAGAGAGAGAGAAGATATTTTAAGCTTTTTTCATATAACGAGACAGTTGAAGTAGGACGATGTGCCCACGATAGCACAGCGGTAGCGTAATTGCTGCCTGAACACAGGACGATCGACCCAGAAAAACAGGATAACCGCTACTACAACGAACGCAAAGCTGTAGGAAAACATCGGGACTAGGCAAAATGTACGATCGCAGCAAACCAACGGAATGGCTAGAGCAATATGGCCGAATCGTTAGGACCAGGTAGCGGGATAGTCCTGCAAAGTACCGAGATGACTACTGAGTTTTAGTCGAGTCTCAGGAGGCGTCCTGTAGCAAAATAGCGTTACTAGTAGTTCTGAGGTGATCAGAATAGTGCAACAGGGTAATAGAACAATTTCAACAAACTCGCACTCGAGACAGATAGATCTGAAATTGTTTTCAATTAGATTAGTAGAAGTATCGGTCTTCCATGATAATAATGATAGTAACGCTAACTATTTCAGATCTCGTAACTTATGGTACGCCTCAAAAAGGTATTGCGGTGATACTTTTGTACAATATTTCCACCATAAAACATCTAAGCTGCTAACTAATAATAATAAAATTCATCGTAGTTAATATACTTGCTTTTGACCGCAAGCAGGATTAAGTGCACTAAGGAACTTAATTACGTCGTAGTTATTACTGCTGCTGCCTAATATAGGAAGCAAAAGATGTACTGTTTCAATACGGTAAGTTGTGTTCTTAACATTCATTCCCCATTCATTCCCGCCTCTCTCGTTAAAAATAGCTGTATTACTGATCGTTGAATGAAAGATAAAAGTATACAAGATAGAAATGTCACTTCACATATCATAACATTCGTTATCATCCTTATCAATTTGACTTTTGTCGCTCAGCTCATGCGTATGCCTTCATATCACAATCAGCGATACTCTATCGAGTGGCGTATTTCTAATTATACAAAATGTTTATTAGTTATTTTAATGCTCGTGTTGCAAATGTACAGCTCAAGCAAGAGAAGAGATCAGTTTATACCGGCTTGTATTTGTGAGTACGGACCAGCCAATATAGCTTTGGCAAAAGCCGTACCCTGCAGGTGTAGTGAAGTCACCGACGAAGCTAACGTATTGTAGGGAAAACACAGGCGGAAGTGATCGCTTGTTGGCGAGAAGACTTTGTCGTTGCTTCTCGATTCAAAAATGGTCTTCATCATAACCTGACACAGAATACATACATTAAATGCAGAAAAATGTCTAATTAACAGGAGATTTCTATCTTCTTCTATATATTTCGCTGATCATCGCTTAACATGGTTTTGAGTTGCTGGCTAGTCAAACACTAAACCTATAGCATGAAAGTTGTGCGTTGTTTTTAAGATCCGGAGGTTTTAACGTTAAGTCTTGCCGTTATTCTTACAACTACAAGAGCCACTATAACCCTGCACAAAATACAGTTCTTATAGATTCCTTGCGTCATACAAGTATCAGGCTATCTGACGAAATTCAAGGTACTACTGATTCCTCATCCTAAATGTTATACGTTTACGATATCGAGTAGCACTGTAGAGAAGTGTCTATTGATAGAAATAGCCTATTCTATCTATTTTCATATAGCGAGTAACTCCTCGACGCTTATACACGTGCTTATCTTGTGATAGCCCGCTGTGCCGCTGTCGTGCTTTTCAAAATCTAGCCAAAAAAAAAGCTACCAGAGGACAAGGCCTACGACAATGTCTGACGTGTCTTTCGGTTAATTTAATATAGGTCAGATACTGAGCAGAAACTAAAATGGCTGGTTTAAAGGTACCTTTATGCAACAGCCGCAAAGACATTCGGTAACGTCGAAGCAGCGAACTTAGTAAACCATGTGCGGTAGGTCCTGTTCTGATCGGCAGCCTTGTCAGTTTAAATGCTCAGTTCAGGTCACATTGAAGCAAATACATATTCTACACTGATTTTAAATATTTTTTACTTTTTTTTACAGTAAATTATCTGAATTACCTAAGCCTTTACTAGCTTGCTACGTAATGTAATAGCAACCTGGTTACCCTCCGCCCGCGCCCCACTGTTCGCACGAATTTCACGATGCACTGTCTTCATCTCTTCAGCAGTTGAAACAGTCTGGCTGACTAATAAGCCGTTTACTACTAGATGAAACGGTCTATTGTCTGTCCCAATATTGTAAAAGGTGTATAGGGCTCTTCTGTCTTTTTATCTGCCACAAGTATAATTGATTTTCTTGAGTTGTATATAGATATATTCACCGAACTTCCTCTTTATGCTATATCCTATGTTTTTTCACACAACAACCGAACGACCTCTCGACACCTTTATTTGAGTAATACTTTCGTATCAGGCTGAGACCTAAGGACCCTTAATGTTTTCAAGGAGAAGTTAGCAAGTTTTGAGTTAATTCATCCACAGAAGACGTTTGGCAGCAGACAAATTCGTCGTTGATCTACCATGAGGCGATGTGGCTCAAGGTTAGTTCGTTTCAGACATAGTAATCTCTATATAGCACTGCTAGATACACGACATGTTGTTTCAACACGTAGAGTACGATCTTTCTTATGTCAGGCATGCATCCAGATTATGCTCCAAATTACCAGAACACCAATGTTTATTGTCAGACATCATTACTGCTTTACTAATGCTAACTGATGCTAAGTAATGTTTGGCAAATCTTTCTAACCCTACGCATTAAAGTATTATGCAAGATTGAAGCTACACGATTCTTCGATCGTTCCAATAAGGGTAACGGATGTAGGAGCCGAGTCGCGATTGGACCTGCACAATGCAGGACGGATACTATTATCTTACTTGAACACGAGACACTAGGAGGTCTTCAGTTTACGGCAAAAATAACTACAACAGAGAACCGTCAAAGGATCATATCAACGTTTAGAAGTTCTCTCACGTTTAGAAGCTTAACACTCGAATACGTCACGAGATGTCACAGCGACCAGTCTATTAGTATTATAAAAAGAATGATAAAAGCAAGCTGAATATCGATATTCAAACGTAGTATCTACTTAAATGTAGATAGATAGATAGATAGATATATCTAAATATCGATGATAAACAATTCAGCAAAAGAAATTTATTGTATCATTTCAACAAAATATACATGCAACAGTTTCCCATGCTCGGATGTAGACGCGATTTTTTCATAGGAACAAAGTGAAACCTTTTCGACTTTCCCTTTTTTTGTCTCTGTCGATTCGATGTATATGTTTGTTGTTTCTGGCTCGATGTTGTTGAAGCCAATAGAATAGAGAAGCGGAACCTTAAGAGGGAAACAAGTTCAAGGAAAAAAACAGTGGCTCGTTTGAATTCACTAACGAGCTGTCATCATCATCATTATCGTCGTCATTCTTATTATCATAATCATCACCATTGCCATCATCATCATCATCGTCGTCGTCGTCATCATCATAGCTGTTATCACAATCGTCCCCTAATTGATGTCGTGTTTCATCTTGATCACTTATCTCTCGTCGCTTTCGGCGTCTATTCAAAGGCTGCAGAAGATTTTTGTTTGAAGGGTGATACCGGGGTTCACCGCCGACTTCAATAAGCTCTGTTGGTCAAACGCACATTTCGTAGACCGCCAAAGTCGTGCTAGTCCCTTGATCTTGGCGTGCAGAGGTTCCGGATCACCCAACACAAGTTCGTGTTTAGTCACCGGTCATCATTTCCATGAACTCTGTAGAAAGGAGCAAGAAGATTTCGGAAAAGTTTGTTATTAGGCTTACAGTAGTAATATCAACAGATCTTCGGAGCAGCCGGATATACAAGAAGTAACTGCTGTTTATCTTATGATATACGCCTTTGTGAAACTTTAATATTGAATTACCACTGAGGCATCGAAACCACGTATACTAAAATCGTCAAAAAAGAGAAGAGAAGAGAAGAAGTATGAACGTATAACCTCAATTAACAGAGTACCGGCTTTGAGACCTAATAATTTATTCGTTTCCTATGCACAGCCTGCTTTGCCCAAACCGCTTTGTTGCCTGTATCTTGAATTGTTGTCTTTAAGGTCAGGTGGTGCTGATCGAAATATATGGTGTACAATTTATGGGTGCACACCAGTTTTGCAAGATTCATTGAAAAGTATCGCTGCCTAAAATTGCTTTGCAAATGGGAAGATGAATACATTTTGTGCATTCTCTAAATAGGTAGGTACACTGATATAAAGTTGTTTATAACCTGCTAAAAGCATTCTGTGAGTGAGATTTAAGGTAAGTGAATCTTTGACACAAGTAATTGAACTTTTGAGGACAGATGCTGTTACCTTGTAGATCAAACCTAGGTACCCGTAGGCAGAAGAGCGACCTCGTGTACCTATGGCAAGCATGTTCTAGGTAACATTAGGCCAATTCTCTAAATGCGTCTTTAAACCTAACATCAACCTAACTTCTCTTAAAAAATGAGCCCCTTTTTACCTACAAGATACGATTATGTCTATGTAGATCAAATAGATTTATCGCGAAGATGCCTATACCGTCGAAGTCGACAGTGCCGGAGCCGTCAGTATCGATTTCAGCGATCATTTCATCGAGCTCATCCTCGGTCAGGGCATCATCAAGCGCACGCAGGATCTCACGGAGATCCGACACATTTATATAACCGTTACCCTCCTTGTCGTAGAGACGGAAAGCTTCACGAAGCTCCTCTTGCATAGCCTCAGAGTCTTCTTCAACGAGGAAGCGAGACGCCAGCGCAACAAACTCATCGAACTCCAGTTCACCAGAGCCATCCTGATCGATCTCAGCAATCAGATCTTTAAGATCCTTCTCCTCAAAAGTCTGACCCAAAGTCCTCAGGATAGCTGACACCATGTTGGTATGAATGAATCCTTTTTTGTCGCGATCGAACATATCGAACGCCTTGCGCAGCACTGGTACACAATGAGAGCGCGACATCAAAATTTATAGGAAAACTTTTGATGTTTTGAGATAAGATTAGGCGGTAGTAATTTAACCATAGCATTAAACAAAAAGTGAAAATGGGTACACAAGGTATACCTGTTATCACTATTATGGGTTTGTAAATGACACAAAAACATGATCTTAGCTTGTCTTTCTATTCAAATAAACATGTTTACAATCATTGTTCGATTCTATGACACTTACTGTTGACCTGTTCTTTGGTAAGGTCCTCCTAAAATGGTAATAGAAAAAAGGACGGTTAGAAATGGCCTAATCGTTACAGCACCTAGGGCAGGCAAACCGTTTTTAATGATACTCTTCACGCAGTCACGCATTAAAGTCACAACTCGCCAGATAGAAACTATCCACCTTTTTTGCATAGTTTTCACCTGTCTTCAAGTTCACAGAGCTTCCTCTGTACAAGTTACTATAATATAGTTTTCATTCGACTATTTTTTGTTTGTTCTATCTTTGTTTCTAATCATTTGTTATGATGGGGGCTAACAACAGTAGGCCCATGAGACATTTTCAGGTCCATCTATGAAAACACATCTTTGTATGGACGTGAGCAAGACTCCTACACATAAAAACACCACGGGTAGATACACAGAAACTAGAAATGTTACAAACCATTTCGATTGGCTTTGCGACGGGCCTGGCCTGGAAACGTCGACTGACGACAAGTCGCGGTGCGGGCCTTTTTAGTGGTCGAGCACCAGGGTGAGGGCTTCTTTTCCGAGTCGGAGCGAGACAGTAATCTGCTCGCTTGACGCTACTTCTATACAACTTGCTAGCTCTAAACTAAACTCCGAGCCATTATGACACTAAGATACGAGACAGAACTTTCAGTGCCGGCTCTGACTCAGGCCCTAGGCACAGTCTGAAAGAAGGTGACGAGGGCAACGGCGATTGACTCGAGGTCGAGGGCAGACGAGAAAGTAATATTTTTGCAGTGACTGGCAAGTGTTCGAACAACGCATTCAACTGTGCACGCTGTCTTATCATTTTTAGGGAAACAACCACATGTGCACTAGCAGGTGGAGGCCAGCGCAAGAGCTATTGACCCCTAAACAAACCAAGAATTATTGAATCCTATACTAGGATGAACCTTTCAAATTAAAGTTAGGATCGGCTGCGGTAGCATACCAATTTCTATACATATATATGGAAACAGCGTTTATTCAAGGTATAATACATATGACAATATTTGAATATCTCGTTTAGCTCAAAAGTATCATTACACTCCTTACTTGTTGAGTTTTCCCAAGTTTGATATCCATCTGTGTTATAGGCATGTTTTCGTGGTGTAAGAGATCTTAGCTCTTACAAGAAATATAGATAGTAAAAAATAACGCCTTCCATGTAAATCTTGGTCATATTTTGTGTAGCTTCTAATGGGTATCTTTGGCGAACTTATTAATTAAGTAAACTAAACGTAATCAAATTATAGGTTTCATTTACCTAGTGGGCCTAAGGCAATAATGAAATGCATACACAAAATTACACAGACGTATAGTAACTACTCACAATTCAAGCAAAACGTTAATAATGTTGCTCGACAATGCCCTAGTGAGCCCAATGATATAATGATCATTCGGCTTACTTAGTAATGAACCAGCTTCTAGCGAAATAAAGACGTAGCTGTTCAACAACATCTGCCTATGAACAGCCGAGGAAGACAGCGGTGCGTCTTGAATCTGGTCGACTTTAACCATGATTGCCAGTAAAGTCAGAGCCCAGAGTCAGTCATTAGACCGTTGCGGAAGGGGAAGGCCAAGCATTGAGAAAAAAGTCGATTCTGCTTGCCGCCGGTCGTCTGAATTCGGAACAAGCTCGCGCTGCCTCAGGTTCCGCGTGTCCGCTTATGAACGATGTTCTGAAAGCCGCAAGAAGGCGTCCTGCATCTAAGGTTTCTCGACTGTCTCGCGATTATTTAAACTGAGAAGTGTTTAGTGTTGCCACGCCTAAATCGAGTACCGACACCAGCACCCTCTGCCGGCTGTCCTGACGTATACCTATTCCAGACGAGTAGAGTGTCTGACTCGCATCCGTTACAGAATAGGTAGGTAGTGTCATAGCCGCCCCTGTATGCGGTTTTTGTCTGCCACCCGCACAAACGAACAATGCACTGCAATGACTGTGGGCTACCAAAGCTCGTCAATAGTCGCATGTTTTCGATGTCGAGTGCCGCTTCAAGGGTTTAATGGCCTTCAGATGTAGTACAACGCTTAGCCATTCTTAAGTCGGTGAGATATTGAAAACAGTTTAACGAGATGGATCTAATTGCGCGTTCAGTGGGTGCAACTTACCTGTGGGCAACATGACAACCACTAATGGTTGCGCATTGAACACGATGAAGCTCAATAAAAATCTCTCATCCAGATTGTTTTGTGCGTTTACATTTCATAGAATAGCTTTGTTGCAGCATGAATACCTTAGGAAGAGTTGGCTTTTGTAAAAAAAACTTTTGAATTTTTTACGCCTCGTTTCCAGCCAACGTTCTTTCGAACGTTTTTCGTATATGGCGATAAGTTGGTTCGTAAAGTAAAAAATGGGCGGAAATTATTCCCACTATTATAAATCTGCGTTTCGCTTAGCCCAATTTCCCGAACGGTTTATGGTACAACGTAGTCGTCTATTGTTTTTTCCTGTTGTGACACTAATTTATTTTGATTCAACCGATTTCATATGCATCGTTTGCAATTTCGTCAGATATCCAAAGTTGCCATAACCGTAAGTAACTCTATTAAAAAAAAAACACCGGTATGTTTAGCTAATGATAACATCATCTTATTTATATTACGTATGCATTATTCATGTACTTATTTTTTTATGAGCTGAGCTTCTCGGAACTTTTAAGGCAACATAAAAAACGAAGTAATTAATCCCTTTGAGTGAAGTTATAGTGTTTCTATGAGCCCTAGAACTCTAAACAAATATTGGTGTTCTGCTCTCGGCTTGAGCGCCCTCTGGTGACTAAAATTTCCGCCGCTCGGACCATAGTACGATTCGTAAACAGGACGACTTTTGGCGCGTTCGAGAACGACAGCTGGTTTCGAATGCTTAATTGGCCGGATGAAATGGTGGATAGAGAATTCCCGCTACAATATTCAAAGAAGTGACATCACAGAGTGTACCTTTAATTAGCTTCACGATTTAATAGAATACATGTAAGACAATCTGTCTGTGCGTGCGTTCACTTTTGCCATACATATAAAAATGACAAGCAAATACAGAGCATTTTGAAACTTGGAACAGCAGTAGAAACAAATGCGTTGTTCGACTTCAGATCTTGCGTGGACGTGTTTGCACACGTGAAAAATTTAAATAATTTACGGAGTAGACAAATGGTGCTGACAAATCGAATATTCGGGTTTTTGGGGGCACAGCCTAACAGCAGTTTGCTCTGACGTGAACATATAGTTGACGTTTTTATGGTAAGTGTTCACTCTAGAGGTTTCATCGACATAGTCGGTGAGTTTGATGATTCATTATTATAAGAAACTTGAATGTTGTTTGTAGTTGAGGTTGAAATGTCGAGTAACTGTTCCATGCAAGGATACCACGATAGACCTAGAACGTCGTCAACGAAAATTCAATTACAGTAAGGTTATACAATAAAAACAGAACAAGGATAAGCTATCGTTCGACTATAAAGCTACCACATCTACGAATAATTCGTCAGCTTCACAACAGAAGATCGTAGTTACTATAGAAATTTGACAAATGCTATATTCATTTCGCCACGCTATAATAAATATGTGCAGAACTCACTTAAAGCTTAGTACACTCTTGTTTACTTTTTATTATCGTTATCATACGAGTTTAGTTCTGTTGTTTTTAGTCGACGTATGAACGATTATTTATGACCGTCTGCCATTTTTATGGCAATTCATTTACTCCGCTGATGTTAAAGTCTGGGGTGCGAGAGTCTATGACGTCTCAACAAACCAACTGTGACAGTATGTTGAGATTTGTGTAATTTTTCCGTAAAGTTGTCGAAATTTTCAAAACAAATGGTAATTTGTACAAGCAATGTCTGGCGAGTATGATCGATGAGAAAACGCCAATTATAACTTCTGCATTTTGCCACGGTTATCCTTGCAATGTAAGGTCGAGCGTTATCATGCAATAGGTAACGGTTTAGCTTTATTTACTAACCTTAACTGTTTAATGCAAAGTTTTTTCATCGTCTCTGATTGTTAAAAACACACTTTAGCCGTAGTTGAGAAACCCGGATTCATGAGGCCATAGTGAAAAACACCTGCATAGATTCCTACATAGACAGCTACGTGTGCTCTTGCAGCTCTACTTTTGCTTTAAGGTGACGTTCAGTTGCATCCGTCCACTGGTATGACCATCTATATATCATTCACCACGGTTCACGATTCTATGCAAAAATGGATCACAGTTGTATTGTGAGAGCAAAGTGAAGCAAGCGCCTCGGCTTTTCACTTATGACCCTTACTCAAACCAGGCGGCGGTAACTTCGCCTTTAATCGAGGTGAACAAATATCACGTTTACATTCATTGAACCTGAATGTTAACACCCTTACAGAGACACCCATCACAGCTCTCAGCTTCTCGTTATTTATTTCGTTCATGAGGTTCATTTTGAGATTTCAAAATATCCTTTCCGGGTTTCCTTTAACCTGTGGTTTATGGGCAGTCTTCACCGAAACAATGCTCACTACCGATCGCCTGCTAAAAATCCGAGTGATGATTTACGAGTAAACGGCCTCAGTACATGTGCATCTGCAACACAAATAGGTGTGGTGGACGTTCATGCAGAGAATCGTGCACTCAGATTTGGGTGGGTAAACTTTTGGCGGGCTGTTTCTTGTAGTGAGCATCTTCCTGGTACCAGACGAAAACCAATTCTTTCTGAAACAAAACAAAAAGTCTTGGATAATGACAGTGCGTCGTTTTTGAAATTTGCGCGAATATCAGTTATTGTCTAACCTTTCCGCCGTAAACAAATGTCCACTAGAAAGAACTTCATTTTTTACCCGAAAACAACGTTTCATGTAGTTTTTTAAAAACCCGAGGAAGATTTTCAGGAGACAAACCAAAAAAATTTTGAGTCGATTTTAGATTTAAATGGCTCAAAAATTAATGAAGAGACCAATTTTGACACGCTTAGATTTTTAATAGAAAAATTTATAGTGGTTTTAAAGAAATTCACATTAGATGCTGATTGATGAATAAGCTCCAGAAACTGCTTTTACTTTTTTTTTTGGAAAATTTAAGCAGCATTAGTCGGCTACCAGCTCAAAATGCAAATCTGTTGGAGTTTTTTGTATTTAACGTATCTGACACATCTACTTACTAATGTCTTTTGACGCACGCTTTCTGTTGAAAAGTTACTGGTATATTAAGGCAGAAGTATTTTGAAAATGATTAGTTATTTTAGGTCCCAAATTAAAATTGTAGTAGATTATTTGATTGAATAAGCACGGTCGCCGCAAATAAAATCTCTAGCGTACATGAAAAAATATCAGTTTTTGTTTAGACATAAACAATTCTCATCTTAGACCCGCCATCTTGTATATATATATATATACTATGGAACTATATTTAGGCTTTTTGAACAGGCGATTGTATTGTAGCCCCTTCGGGTGCTATATCAATAACTAGTAGCTCTAACAAAGCCAAAAAGTATGTTGTAAGCTGTTCTTCAAGTTCCATTAGATATCTTCAAGATGAGTACTACTCCGCCAGCTGTATCAAGCCGGATGGCTCGATACAGATCTTGTAAGAAGAAACGGTCACCAAGTTCTTCGCAAGATCTTGACAGCTCACCCGAGTTGACGACCGCTTCAGCAAAAAGAACAAAGAGAAGTTCACCTCCGGGAAAGAATTTAGCTCAACGAAATATTAATTCAAAAACATCATCTAACAAGAAAAATTCATCGCCGGAGGAACCAGAAGAGGCAGGAAAAATCCCAGTCACAAATATACGGTCACTATCGAGAACTGGTAATCGCACCCCCAAGGGGACCGACACAAAGGAAATAAAAGAACCGTTTCTTATCGGTGTCAGCGATAGAAATATTCAACGATGGGAACGGCCAGATGTTGAGGAGCTTTCACAAAGATTTAGTGGACGACGGTCAAATAGAGGTAATTTTAAAAATATTAACCAATTCAAACTGTTATTTGTTTGAGCTAAGTTTAAGAGTTGTGACATAAACAGCAGTGCAAAGTGTCAAAGGCGTAACTCTTGTGCACTATTGCTATACTAGTTATTAAATTAAAACTATTTACTGCTATTTTTGTACAAGATGAGCATTTAGAATTTAAACAAGAAATCTTTTCGTTTATAGTGTTATCGCCTCGAAAATAGAAATGACATTTTATGTCAAACTAATTTTGCGTTAATACATTTTGCCGTAAAAGTAACGATTTAGCTTTAAATGTTAAAATTTGGAGGTATGCTCCCTAAAATTTTATTCCGTAAAATTTATGTCCAATGTAATTTTATTCGCCTTAGCAGCAGTGAATGGTGACGTGAATCCGGACAACAGAGTGAGTGAGTTTGAAGGATCGTCAGCTTCTGCCAACATTTGGAGCAACGATCTCCTGGCGGCGACAAACCCCTGTGATGTCGTTCTCGTCGGCGACGACGACAGTCTACTAGGGCCTACCTTCATCTATCGCGACGCCTGGACACTCAAATATGCGTGAGATGCATTTTGGTATCTTAAGGTTGCTTGTTAACCGGCGTTGTACTGCCAACAAGCATACATCAGTGCGCCAGTTATAATTTGTTGGTCATTATTGGCGTTTGTGGGTCTGTTACCCTCTATGTATTTTATACTTTTGTCGACCAGCTTGAGCACTCTTCGTCCCTTATCGATATTGCAGGCCAAATACATTTGGAACGTTTGTGGGAAACACGACAGCTGTGGGAAAACTCGAAGCTTGGCTTAGAGAGTGGCAGGACCCAACACGGAATATGAAAGTTTCGACTGAAGATGCCAATTATCAGGTTTACAGTCGTTTTTTTTTTTCAAGAAATAGCTAATTTCAAAAGGTTTAGCTCAGAGAATCAATATCGATACTTTCGAATTGTATTTTTAATGTAAAGAGAAATCTGTATTTTTAATGACATCCCAATGAATTCGGTTCAACGATTTTCGGATTCATATATTGTTTCAAAATTATTAGATACAGTGAATGTTGTACTTCTTGATTAATAAGTCGTATATTGTATTCAAACGCATAGAGGCATTTGTTTGTTAAATTAATACCATATAATGTTTTTTTTATCCCGTTCCTGTTTCGCCTCTCCTGTCAACACAATTTTACGGTTCATCATCGAACCAGTCGCAACAGGACGCCGTCTCTAGTGCGTTATTTATCAGAGGGCCACCGGGAGTCGGGAAGACAGCATTGACGTATTACGTTGCCCATCGGTTGGGATATATGGTTAATATCAACTTTAATTATACTATTCATAGCACAGAGAGAAATCTTCGTTAGTGCTTACGTTTCTTGCCGAATTGTTTGTGTAGCGAATAGTTTATATAATGCAAAATAATTAAATTTTGTATATGTTGTCAAGCAGGTGATCGAAGTAAATTCTTCGTCAGAACGTCCTGGCCGTCGAATTCTTGCAGATCTTCAGGAGGCAACACAAAGCGCTCACGTTGAAGGAACTAAGGTATCGGCCGGAAAAAGTATAACTAGCTTTTTCAAACCCACACTTGGTGGATTGCAGGGTGCCCTCACATCAAGTGACCTCACAACCCCCATTTCGGCGATGGTAAATAGAGTAAAGGTGACGAAGGGAAAGAAGACTCCTGTTGTTAATCCTAAAGGGACACTGCAACATTTCTTCACTCTAAAAAAATCACCAAACACTAAACCGAGCACAGATAAGGAAGAAAGCAGAGAGGATAGCAGTCCTGAGGTGCAAACTCTAACATGTGAACCTAAATCATCTATAAAGACCTTTTTTAAATGTGACAAGAAATTTAGTAACTCAGTAACATCGACAGCAACAGTAGTTGAAATGAAGCCTTCGTTGAGCCCAGTCATAGAGACGGAACAACCAAACCACTCGAAAATGGACAAATCTATGAAGAGTCAAAAAATCAAGTTCTCGAAGAACACCATTATCTTGTTTGACGATGTTGACGTGATTTTTGAAGACGACGGTGACGAAGGCTTTTGGATGGCTTTGGAGACGGTGGTGAAAAACTCAAAAAAGCCATGCATCCTCACAGTTACTCAGGGTTATGAAAGTATTGCGAAACGGTTTCGGATTCTGCAGAACGCACCGCTTATCGACCTGCGTCGACCAGACCCGGTAGAGGTACATTGTTTATCTGTAGACATCACCTAGATAATGGCCAGTGTGATGTACTGGAAAGGCTCGAAATAATCATAATAAGCTAAAAACGATTCTCTGGAGCAGAACACGGTAATTACGATTATTAAGTTAATTCTATTATTTAAACAGGAAATTCACAGAAACAGGAAAATAAGCGTATTACTTATCCCGTTTAAAGCAATGCTTAATGGCAGTACCAGTTGCAAAAACTGGAAACACTTATTTAAAGTATCCCATGCGTCATGTTTGCATTGTTATCCATTTTATACCCATTGTGCTTCTAAATTAGTTCTGCATTATCCAGGTGGCGACTTTGGTTAAACGCGTCTGCGAAGTGGAACAACGGGACCTCACTGACTATAATGTCGAATTCATGTGCCAGTATCTCGCGTCCGATGTCCGGCGTTCCCTGCTTCAAATGGAATTTGAGACGATCTCGTCCGGCCTCACACAGACAGTATATCCGGCGAATAAAACCTTCGGTGGACTTCTCGATTCAGGGTTATATTTTTATTTATTATTGTTGCAAAACGACAATTAGATTTTGTCCAAGTTTTTCCCTTGGCCGACCCTTGACCAGTAGCACCTTATCATTTCCGACCCCTATAATACTACTATTAAAACTACGGAATGCGCGCTCAGCTTTGTAGCCACGCACCTTCTTGAAATGGAATTTAATTTTTCCAGAAGAACGTTGGATAGTTTTATTCGTTTCAGTCAATACCATATTTGTTTAAAATAATTGATTAGATAGACGTTTCAAGTGTCCATAAGTGCAGAATTAATTTGAATCATGCATAACTTTATGATAACCCAGGATTGACTATCATACTGTCCTCTTCGAATCAGCCGGTGCTATGTGTCTTTCCATTTAAATTACTTTTATTTTTCATTTAATTTACACAGGTTTATTGACGATGCTTTAGCTATACAAATGGCATATAAAAAAGTTGGCTTTAACGCTTTATACGCCTCACTGGAAGACTGCTTGCCATTCCAATGCGATGACGCCAATTCTGCCGATGTCGGTACAACAATGCCCGGGAGCTCTGATACAGCAGAAACAGGTAGAATTAGTAGACAGAGAAAAGCCTTTGAGGAATCAACGCTACGTGATTTATCTGAGATCTTCGATGAGCTTTCACATTGTGACCTTTACACGGGGACTCTCGATAAGATGGGCCAAGAGTATCTGCCATCGTATGAAAGGTATGATCACCGAATTAACTGTGTAGCTAAGTGAATTTATAGTTTTTGCTGGTCTAGATTACCCGAGTAATTCGCTGATCGTCATAGGGTGAAAAGCCAAACTTCGTTACGTGTAGTTGTTAACGCCCAATAGAAACGCTCGATAGATATTGCTTTAACGTAACATTTATTGCGTCGCTCGTACTCTGTAATACATTTGCAGAGCAAAACGTTGGATGGAGCGCCATCCAATGGAAACTCAGGATTCGAACCCACGAATGGTCGAAGAATTACTCGAAATCGAAGCTTCCGTATTGCTGAAAAAAACCGTCAAACCCATCAATCGGATCACCGAAAGGTAAGTATTAACAATAGTGTTAGAATTCGTACCCAATTCGATTACCGTAATTTGATTATGTTTCGTATTTTATTGGCATACACTTGAAACACTGCACGACATTTAATCTTGTTCAGCGGACTTTGCTAAATAGAGTTTTAGCCAATTTAGACATTATATTTTCGAATGGAGAGAAGGTTATGATGACCATAGAAGGAAAGTGATAATGCAGAAGAAAACGTTTTCATTAACGACACGCACCAAATCGTTTGTGCCTCTTGTCACCTAATCTATTAGTTGTATTGACTCGCTTAGAAAAGGTTCTCGCCTAGGATATAGGGAAGCAGCTGATTAAAAATTAAGGCTGATTGAAGGAGAAACGCTTGTGTACCGAATGAAGGTGGCGATCTGCGTTGCAGTGCGGAAAGATAAATGTCAGGAACTAGCTCAGATATCTGTGTTATACTCCATCAGAAATAGCACATGACAGAATGCAAACTTAATTCGTTCGTGTCATCGTTTACTTCGAACGGCAGGTTCGGATCACTAGGGCCAACTGAACAGAAAGCTTTTCGCTTTCTGCGCATCTCTAGCACATCGAGCTTTCATAATATCCACAAGCAACTAGAAAAGGTTGGTATGACTGCGAAAATGAAGAACGAAGGAATAAAGCGGAATTGCGATTAATTCATATTAGGTTAACAAATTGTTTGCTTCTTGCCTATGACATTATAACTTACACGTATCAAAGAAATACTAATAACAATCGACACTATATTTTTTAATTGAACATATGCTATTTTTGTTGAATTTAATGATTGCGGGCGTTGACAGGTGCGGAGCCGCGAAACCGCTCTGGAGGATGTCCTGAATGTGTTTGCCAATTCGCGGCCCCTTGCACGCGACTATCTGGCATATCTCGTACGAATTTGCGAAGCCGAAGAAGACCGGCGAAAAATGCCCCGCAGAAGCGCCAATCGTTTTGTGCACTACCTTTCTCAATTAGGTATATTCCAAGGCACCGAGAAAATCCAGCGAATTGCAAATTTCTGGAGAAATGACGATAATAAGGCAGAACCTGCTCTCGTATGACCGTGTATATTAGCATCGTTAGAAAGATGAACAATAGTATTCTAATAGCCGTAACAAGTTTTAATGGTAGATAAGACTCTTTCACATCAATGAATTGTTTAATGAACGGGGTCAACTGAACAGAACGGAAGCCTCTGCTAAAAAAAAAGAGTTCCAGTATCCATAAAGCGTTTGAAATATTGAATTGAGACGAATAATCCTATCCGTCTAGCTGTACCTAATAGCGAGAGCCATCTTTTGTGTATTGAATGTCTAATAACTTTGTGATCAATTTTTTGTGGATTAAAAGCAAATCATACATAAATGATACAGTATAGTCTACGATGTATAATGTAAATAATGCGCCATAAAAATAGAAACGAAATTCGCTTGGTAGAAACATCATCCAAGGACGTCAACCTCACTGCATGGTTGCATATTTTTCCAGACAAAAGTGAATAAACAATTTCTGTTAAATATCTAATGAATAGGATATTTTCAACGTAATTTTATTAAAAAGAGTTGTTGTAAACCTATCACCTCTTTGTTTAGTTTGAATTCAGTTAGTTAAAACTATGGATTCGTCAACCTAGGGCGCTACGACATGTTGCTAACATGATTACCATTGCATCTCTTCGCCATCGTAACTTATTCAGCGTGGTCCCTATTTCGTTACGGCCTTTGACCCTTGGATATAATGGCTTCAACAGCTAGCTTTAATATAAACATAGTACGAAAATTGTATTTAAAAAGGAGGGAAATGAGGCCGGACCTTTTAGACTTTTTTTTTTTTTGTTTCTTATATGTGGGACACACAATAACCTTAACCTAGTGAGTTCTATGGAAGATTTCTTCCCCAGGTAGGATTCCATTACAGTAAAACGTTCATAGAACTATGCGTATACATACATTCGCTTCGATGTTGGGTTGTTTGACGGACACGCGGTCAATAATTTGATTAACCAGAGCAGCGTTTAGTATTTGATAAATCACAGTGCTTAGAAATTTGTATTATGAATGTATATATGCATTATACAGTAGTTATTCTGCTATGTATAGTGCCCTTGTGATCTATTAGGAAGGGTCCAATAAGTTTAATTGTTGTAGAATTCGACCTATTTTTCCATCGAAGGAAGACCTGTTATAAGCAGTATTTTCAAATTCAAAGAAAATACCTATAGTAAACCTATGCTGAAAATTTACTATCAGTTACTCAAACGCATCTATTGGCAAATTAAGAAACAAGCATTTTAACTTTGGGTTAATGAATATGACATAGAACAGGCCAATACAACCATGACTTCGAAAAAAATATTAGAGAAAAAAAGGCACAAGAAGGTAATACATAGGGAACATCTTCGACCTATTTGCGTTGTGAGGTGCTTGGCTGACCGTTGCATGATCGACTTCGAAAGGAAGCGTCGAATTTTATCTCTAAGCTCTTATCTATCTGTAAAAACGGGACGTTGTGAAAATGTATTTATATGATTGTGGACTTCTGTCACTATTGTCTGACGCTGGCAAAGGGGAGCGTAACATTTTCAAATGGAAAACATCAACATGCTGAGAAGACTGTAATCATCGACATTGTAACGTCGAGGGTCAGAACCGCAATTTAAGGACATTTTATATCTAGTTGCCGCTTAACACTTCTACTGTTCGGTTTAGACTTAATGATATTAAGTTTACAGCGACTGCTTCGAGGAGTGGCAAATGTGCGACCAAGATGCTTATTCGATGGCTCAATTTGACCTTTCATTCAGAGAAGTTCATCTTCCAGAAGGTGTCGTCAAACTCAATAAAATTTAATATTGCGACTGAAAGAATTAACCACCGCAGTTCAACCTATGGTACTTTCGCTTTACAGTTCTCACCTCAAAAATGCAATAAAAGGAAAATAAGTGAGCCAACAAACATGCTAAATTTCTTCAAACATTGCAGGAAGCATTGCTTACCTTACGCGGAAATTATTAATTAAATTTTACAAATGTTTTGCAAAACAATGTTAATGCCATAAAGAAAGGACGTAATGCTAATATCCATAGATAGAAAAGCGACAGCTAGACATATTTATAGATAATCATGGAGAAAATGAAGATGTTCCAAAGGCGCTAAGAGGAAGATGAAAGCGATACGATGAAATCAATTTATTAGCGCTTCAAACTGATTGAAGACAGATTAGAGCAAAAGCTAACCGATTTCAATGGAATAACTCATAACATTGCAAAGGTTTGCTCGTCCAATCTTCATTAATATCGCATTAATAGCTACGGAAACCCTAAGCCCCACTGTTCATGATTGAGTTCTTCTAATAATGGTTGTAAATAAATAAATTATTTAATAAAAATTATTAATTGATACGTTTATCCCTCACTGTTCTAAAACAGTAATTGATGAATAAATGAGATACTTGTGGTATAGGTAAATCTATCTGCTCTATCGATACATTTATGAGGTTCAACATCCAGCATCTTGCAACTTTTCAGTCAAATAAGAAATGGAAGTACATGGCGTCATCTGCTTCTTCGTGTTTTTGCGCGATATTCTGCCCCTCGTTGATCGGTTGTTATTACGTCGTAGCTCCAATTCGCTTTATGGCTGAAACGTAGATTTCAGTTCGTTCTTTTTGGCCATTGTATTATAGGAAAAAAACTTGCGTCAGTGTGCGCAGCTTCAGTAGGATTAACTTCATCTTTGCAGCTGATTACTACTCAGATCATTATTGTTGCAAGTGCGTTATATATGTACATACAATATTCCCTCATGGATAGCGGAAAGTTTAATGTGGTGTAGTTGTACTTCGTTTATTTGGTAGTAGATGTCTACGAAACGTTTGAAAGGTCAGTCAGTACCTTGGTATCGTATACAAGGCTATTTAGTGCAGGCTATAGTTCGTACTCAGCTTTCTCATAACAATTCTCAAGGAGAATGATTAGGTATAATACTCACATTAACGAAGTGGAAAGTTCCCTTTACCTTGCCAAGACAGTTTCCCAGCTTCACAGCGAATGGTCATTAGCTCTTCTTTGTGCAGATAAGTATCGAACTAAATTCCGATTAAAACACCAGTCTGGTGGTCTTTAGGGACCACATTCAGGTCCATGACTTTCTCTATAGTTTTAGATGTGCTGAACTTGAGCACTGGATGGAACGTTAGAACATGTCTTATTTTAATATCGGTGGAATATGCGCTAACCAGAATTTGGAAGGGCTGATGGCTCTGATGAAACTTTGGCCCATGCTATAGAGCTCAACGCCAGCTGCAACTCAATTCCCTCTCGTTTCTTCATAAACCTCAGTAAATTTTGCACAAGATTCACCTTTCCAACTATTTAGAACTCATAAAGAAACGGAATTCGAAAACTTCGCTAGTGAGAAACTGTCATCTGTATGTGAATGAAGAAATTAGTGAGTCACAATCACACTTAATGATGATGACTACTAAATCCTTTGTAAGCTGGTTGTTTCTTATTGGAGATGAAAGAGCGAAGTTTCAAAAAGGGCGAAGCTTTTAGAGCCCTCTTCGACAAAGGTAAACCGAAGATACCTTACAATAGAATAAGGCTCAGCTTATTACGAAAAACACCAAGAACTTAGAGATTTGGGGGACGCGTTAGCTTAAGCCTTAAACTGCTTCCGGCTGATGAGATGGATTTTTTACCTAAGGCCAACACTTCAAATGTGCTCTATTAATAGCGGTTAGAAATCGACCCCAAAAATAATTACACAAGCCATACTTGACGGCCAGTCAGTAAAGTGAAGTTGCGTAGAGTCCGAACGGAACCATCGTGATGTCGACCTAATGTCGCACCTTTCAGTATTGGCGCTTGTTCCTTATCAGTATAGCAAACATTACTATAATTGCCACAATTGTGACGCTGATGACTTGCTCATGATCCTAAACACGGGTTTTCAATTGTAAGCTAATTGCAGTGGCTAACGTTATCGGTCTGCCTTAAACTGTGCCCTTTAAATGTTGAATGCTTAATAAGGAAGTATCTGGCCTTGGCTCAATGCATAAGGATGCATGTGACTTTATTTATATAGGACAGTTCGCCCTGTTAGACCTAATAGTGCCTCAGTCGTTACGGATGTCTGGAACGAGTCGTTCTAATAATCGCCTAAATTTAGGAAGCCCACACGACCTAAATGACACCTTAATCAGACTATAGCATTATTTTTGATCATGGCTTTCTCATCGTGTTCGGACCAATAAGCCATTTCTGAATTGTCCTAACCGTCATGTCCATCAATATATGATGAAAAATTTGTTTTTAGACCGCGGTGAAGATGGTGCGGCACTCGGCAACGCTGATCAACTACACGTAGTTGTAATTTACTTAGAATAAAAATGGTTCAATTGACCATTTCACTACTGGACGCTTTTATAGACTGACAGTTATAATTAAAATTAATAAACTGAATTGTTTATTACGCGATTGCTCAATTGCAGATATTATAACTTCAAGCTCCACCAAATGCTGAACTACAAATATAATGATATGCAACGAGTGCTAAGACCATTTTTATTATAGATCTATATAGCTTACGCTGTACTAGAGTGATTAAGGCTTTGAAGCGGCAATTTAAAGATGATATCATACATTGTCTATTGCTGTCTGTTGCTTATTGGATTTAGAGAACTTGTCAAAGGGTAGTCTGTACCGGGTAGAAGCTATTGGTCTTAATAAACGCTTCATTGAAATCGAGCTCTTATGATGAGCATTTTTCTTCTGCTTCCTGCAGAGCTTGAGATGGGTAGAACTTTAGTTCATAATTAGACTAAATGAATGGTGCTTGATACAGAAAGGCAACGTTTTAGTCACCAGCGCGGAGGCGGTACCACGAGTTTTTATACAGCAGTAGCCCATATATAGACAAACATATTAATTGCAATGAGACTTGTAGGCTTTTTGCGATAGGTTACGACAAATGATCTGTAAAAATCGTTGGTAACGTGATGTTCGGCCAGCTTGGAGCTCTGGCCATCTCCAAAGAGATGGCCAGAGCTCCAAGCTCGAAGTATGCGTTATGGCACCTTATTTCCAGCAAACTATACCTCTATATATGTGTACGTATGATGTTGCCATATATACCAGCAACAAAAACAACCACGACAATAACGATTCAGCATATGATCACTGTGAGCTCACTCCATAGAATTCGCAGCGGCGTCAGTTAGCCTCTACCGCACTATACCTGCGCAGCGAGCAGAATTCTGTGGCTACGCAGTCCTGCATCACGAAACTACTTTCGCTCGGCATTGATTAGGACGGCAATAGCGGAACGCACAGCCCTTGCCCCTCTCTCTTTTTGTCTTCCCGCTTCTACCTGCTCGATCCGCAAGCGTACCTAATCCCCTAGTCCAGATAGTATGTAACCGTCTGGTCCCCTGCTTAGTCGATAGGCAGTGTCATCGTGGTCTGTCCTGGACAGCTTAATGCCTGCAGTTTATGATTCAGCGGTAGCGGTCCTACTATTGCCGTTTGCTGATTTAATTCTCTGGTAATGACCTTCTACCTTGATCATGCATCCACTAGCTGCTGTTGGAAATAGTTGAGCAGGTTTTTTCAAACAATCATTTATTGAAACTTTGCAGCGGAACGCCTGTGCACTCAGACAAACCAGTGTGGCCAGTAGCAACGGGAATAAAATTCCATAGTAATTTTCTACTTGACTGAACCACCGCTAAACGAGTGTCGGGAAAACGGGCAGGTAAATACAAAAACGACATCGCAGAAGATCGTACTGTAAGTGCTGAGAATTTAAGTGCAAGCTATGCGAAAGCATGCTAAGATGCTATGAGATAGTCTGATTTTATTACTATAGCTTGTTGATGCATACAATCTTTTTTACTGCAGCGTGATGACGCTACGCTGTTGGTGCAGCGGTTTAGATCATAAAATCTCCATCGTTGTAGAACTAGCGTTGCCATTTGTTTGAGCTGACATGAAGATGGATACATATAGTAGTAGGCAATATATGTAGATATATGGAATGAAAATGACGGTGATTTCTTCTGTCATATAAAAGAAGTGGATAAACGCAATATAAATTAATTTCGAACAGACATTATCTACAGAACGAAGCCAATTTTCTCTTAGTATGTACGCCATACATTTTACATATCAATGAACAATTGATTGAGTTATCTACATTGCTTTTGTTTATGTGACAAAGCAAGCCATATGCTCTCTGTAGTTATACGTATTCTCTAGGTAAGCATTGCAACTTACTGTCTTAATATTGTCGTTGTGATTGAACATTCGGGTTCTTATATTTTGTCACAATGCATAAAAAGACTAGAACTTAGCAGAGCAGCGGAAGTTAGTCAGGAACGAGAAAAATTATGCGGATTGTCGGTTAAGGACGAGGCGTGGAAATGTATACATAAATACGAGTCTCTTTGAAAAGGACAAGGACTATTACGAGCAACCCTCTGTGAGATGTGCGCAAGATACAAACAGTGATAGTCGTGATACACGCAAGCTATTTTGCCAAATACTTTCTTAATAATACATCGAAATTATCAAGTACGCTGTCATTGTCGGATAATAGTCACGCGATAGGGTACTTTTTGCAACCATCGTTCCTGATCGAGCATAAGCAACACAGTACCTATATGTTTTTCTTGTCTTAAAATTTCTCGGGCTCTGTTATAAATGCTTACCGTTAAATTATCAATACCAGCGCTGACGAATCATAATAACTGTCGTTAACTGTTCTTCTAGTTGTTGAAGAACATTTCTTTGGGTGCTGTTTTAACGACTGCGAAAACTCGAATGCGATGTCCGTACTTGGTCCCTTCGGTCAATCTGGCCCCTTCTATTCTCCTTAACACGTCAGATTAGACATATATTATCCGCGTTTACAGTAAAAAACAGGGTTATCTGAACTACGGTTTTCAGCGATATGAAATATAACATCTGAGTCTATTTGTTTGCTTCTTGTAAAAACGACACATATTAAATGTAATAATATTTAGATTAGAGACACGTCGTGAGTGCATACATTAGCAATTTTACATTTTGACCACCCCTTCTCCCGGTGTCGGAAGTGTGGAAGCCCTGGCATCTGAAACTGAATAAGATTACCTGATCTGTCTTTATGGAACACTAACAATGATAAGCTACTGAAGCCAAACAAATGCTTCGAGTTCTACGTTCGGTTTTGCCCCTGAGCGTTGCCTCAAGTTGCTGACCCGTAGCGTGACACAAAGCCCACACCCGCCTTTAAACCCAAATCTCCTCGAGTATTTCTAAGTTCAGTAGGCAAGTACTATTATCGCAACTAAGTACCACAAGCGGGTACCAGATATTAAATGAGATTGTAAATCTCAAGTATATTTTCGGTAATCCTTGCGGTGTAGCGCATAATCCTGCCTAAAATGAAAAGAACCTGGTACAATGAAACCTCCTACATAAAAAAAACCTAGTCCGATCTCGTCAAGTATCACGACAACTTGCTCGTTTGCTACGAAATTTCCAAATAATTGCAATAGCGTCAGATGGCTATCCAGAGTCCACAACCGATCTAAGATAGAACGAGAAAGACTTTAGCTTTAGTGTTGCCTACGAAACCAGCTTAAGAGAACGGTGACGACTCACCCTTGAGATTACTACTCAGGTTTGACAGTGTCTCGTTTTATGACCGAGAACCATTAAAATGTGGACGCATTCACAAATAGAACAATGCGGCTCGAGCATTGTATCCTTCGACGTTCGAGCATTTGATAAATTCACTTAGACTATGTTTGAACCGTGAATCTACCAAATGGACGTTTAGTGCATCGGAATTAAAATTAAGCACCGTAACATATCCGGCCGCATAGGCATTAACTAAAATCTCTAAAATCTATACTTTGTCAAATGTGTGTTGACAACTAACACCATAAAGTCGAGCATCGTAGTTGCTTACCCTAAGTCTTTCACTCAAGTACATACATATGTGAGAGACATTAACGGCCTTGTGCATCGTGGAAACCTTTACATTACTGAGAACTCTTGCTTTTGTTTACGTATCACGCTGGCAAGACCTATACGAATAAAGAAGAAACAATACCAGAAAAGAGATTGATATTGAAGATTCAGGATTCGTTAGCAAATCAAATGAGGATTACTATAAGATACGTAGCAAGTGTAAGCCTATAACGAACGTGACTATGTTTTTAAATTCGACGATACTGTAAGGTCTTTGTGCATAAAGAAGCTGTTTCTATTTTCTAAATCTAGAACTGAATGCTTTAATTCAAATATTCGAACGAACTGGCGCCATATTTTAAATTTTGTCATAAGCACAGCAACGGCTCTGCATCGACTACATCGAATGAGCAACGTCACTATTTATAATTGAATTTCATATCAACTATCTGCCTATAAGATATTTTTGCTACTGAATGCAACCAGGTATCCCAAGATTATATAATCTGTTAGTTCGCCGCCGAGCGACTGAGTTTGGAACAGTTACCGCGACCGTGGTCAGACAAATGTAGTTGTCTATATTAGGAAATATCGATTACCAAGTTACAATTAACTGATGGATGATTGAACGCTGTTCGCCACATTCTACACGAGTGAAAAAGCCAAAATCACTGGTATAAACATGACACGCATTGCTTAGACGACTTACAAGGAACAAACAATACCAAATAACCAATACTGTAGAAGCAACATGAAACAATTCGCGACCTCAAATACACAGACGACATGGTTTCTTTGCAGATGCGGTTAACATAGAATTCAGCTTAAAAGTTTATTGTGTTATATAAATCAGGTCGAAAATTTGTATTCCGAATTTGGTGATCGATGCTTTTGACATTATTATTATCTATTGTGATTACTGGCGAATGTGTCACGATGAGGTTTATTTTCGATAGGCGTACGTATGTTTAACGCCGACTTAGAGTAGGCTTGAACACGGGAAAAATAACCGACCTTATTTAATTGTTATTATGTTTTTTTTTCAATCGTAAGTTTTAACGGTGAATCCTAAAACGAGCTACATTTACCGATCGTAACGCTATTCCGACTAAAGACATAAATCACTTATTTTGACTGTTTCAGTTTTAGGCTGGCGTTTGTAGGACTGTTTTTGATCTTAGAGATAAGATTAAGCTAGTTGAATTAACTCTATGTCTAGAAACTCAGCAGCCTCTTAACTATTCGTTTGCTCGGGCGTGTTTCAATTCCTGTACATGTATATTTTTATTTTCTCTCAAAATCCGTGCATAGACTTCTCTTATATATTCAATACATATTATACCTATTGGCACGGTAGGATTTTTTTCAGAAATAATGCATTTTTGCGCACTCTTATCTTTATTAAATCTCTCCAAAGTACGACACTGTCGCAGGGCTTTTCTTGTTTCCTGCTGACACATCGCCAGCGACAACACCTTGGTATTATAAATGCAGGGGTTTCTGCGATGTTGACCTAGCACACAGTCACTATCTAATTCATAATAGAGCCATAGGTTACGCCACAGGGCAGCGACTACTATAAGGATATCCTGCGTACCTATCTGTGTTGCTTGTTATTACGTAATCTATATTCCAGCGAAACCAATGCACTCTTTAAAATAAGCCTAACGCCACTCTATCGAGTGGCGTTGCAATAACATCGTCGTTGCTGTTATTTTTTTCAACACAGAGACTATGTGAAAGATCTAGCGGTCAATTTTTGCTATAAAGAACTGGGTCCTGCATACCCGTAGGTGGTCGGATATCAGTGCTATAGAAAGTAGCCTGAAGAGGCTGAGCCTTTACAAATTCGTCTCTGGCAAAATCAGATGTCAAAATCAATCGGCATGTTGTATGATGATCATACATTCAAATTCGGAACTAGTGGTAGAAATTTTACTTTAAATGTAGCGTCAACTGACTGATCACACGACTACGGCATCACTCCATATGCTGCGCGTTTTTGTCTCTGATGCGTTTGTTGACCGAACCTTATATCGTTGCCCAGGCACACGCTGTAAAGGGAACGAAAGCTGCATCTGGATAAAGACTGGCATTTGAAAGAAATTTTGGTTGTATGTAGCGCGTTTTCTCAACGACGCCAAACAATTAGCATATTTAAATTGGGCTCGAATAGTAGGTCAAAAGACTTAAAAAGGCAAGGGTTTCAGAAGGTCAAGAAAGACAAAAAGACATGTAAGCTAAAAATATAATAAACTTTGAGGTTTTTCTGGATAGCCCGACTGATGATGAATACTCTTTTTTCAAAAACCGTTACTGACCTTTATGCTGAAATTCTCAGGTCATCAAAAATGGCCCTTTGTGCAATCCTGTAGGTGAATCTTCAGATTCCCTCAGTTTAATTTTTATGCTAAATTTTCCGCTTTGCCCGCGTGAAAATCTTTTTCGGCGTCAAAAAGTGATAATTCAGTCCGGACACGCTCCACGCGATTCTTTTAAAATATCGTAAAGTATGCTATAATGCGTACGGTACCTCTGCTCGCTTAGTTTCCGTACATATAACTAACTATGCAAAAAATCGCATAGCCTGCGCGAACGTATTCAGAGGAACGCGGGGTGTTGTCGTCAAGTATGCGCACTGCAATGGGTGGTTTCGTCAACGATCTTGTTTTTCCTCGACGTTGATGTTTTTGGTGACTTCGGCATTAGAACAATAAATGATCGAGCAACATTTTATGTCGCTTCGTACCGTAACATAGTAATATTAGTGATAATTGAAATAGCAACGGCATGCGTTTATTATGTATATATTACGATGCGTTTTGTGGTGTGTCTGGTGCAACTGAGTGATAATGTCGTGCACTAAAGGGCCAATCGGCAGAGCGAAGGTTAGACATATACCGTTATTCAGATAGACAATAGGTTAGCAGGATGGCGCACCAAGAAGCCATCGAGTACACCTGTATCCAATAGAATTTTGACGATTTCATTCATCATACAGCGACTGCGAATATACAGTCATACTTTACAAGTGTTAAAATAAACCATTATGAGAATTTCACTTAAAGGCCTAGTGAATGATATTTCTTTACAGTATAATTCAATCTCTATATGATATAGAGTTCAGAGAACGTCTGTAAGATATATCCCTAATTGATATGCTAGCATATTGATACCAGCGTGAAACGTTGGACTGTTTGGCCTGCGCTTTCTGACTGCCAGGCACTATGACCTATCCAAGGATGCAAGGACGCTCTTGAACGCGTTTCCTAAGTGCTGTTTACAACTCATTGTTAAGCCGTGTTTTTGACGTGAATTAGTCAACGCGACGTCACATTGCAGCAAAAAAAAAAGTCGTAAGGCTAGATTCTTCCAGTAAGTCCTTTTAAAAATATGTCATTGTGTCATACACATCGCTCATGAGCAACCTATATACATGTTTATATGCGGTGGATTATAAATGTTAGCTTTTCGATAGTCCCTACGACAACATAATTTTTAAGTGAAATTCCGTTTACGTTTTCGCACCTTTGGTAAGCACTCGGCCAAGCATGGTACTCCCAAGGAATATCGTTTCCGTGCTATTTGTTTGTACCGTTTACTATTTTTAACATCTATATAAACAATTCTGAGTTCAGCAAATTAGGCATATTATGCATTACTGCAAGTCTAAAGGGACGTATTTAATTCTGAATACTAGATTCAGTTTAATGGATATCTGTCTTGAAAATATCTTAAGGATAGGGTAAAGGAGAGACAATGCATCTGTGCGCCGTTTGCCGTCGTCAGGTGTACCCCACAGAGCAACTGCGGGTACTCAACGAGCGTTACCACAAAAGCTGTTTCCGCTGTAGTGCATGTGGCCTCCTCCTGACTCTGCGCACCTATATATCACGAGAAAGTGTCCCATTTTGCCAGGCTCACGCGCCACCACTGCGATCATCGGCAATCGTAGACACGCCCGTTATGCAGGTACTTTTAGATGCATAATATATATCTAGAACTTTAGATACTTAGACGTTTTCATCGGTATCCGTACTCTAACGACTAATAAAAACTTAGTTAATATTAAAAGCTTTACGGATCATGAATTGAATAGACGGCTATACGTAAGTTAGTCGAACAATTTTGTCTGTACGAGTGAGCAAAAGCATAAATAGATGACCTAAGTGTATGTGTGTATATATATATATATGAAGAACTTTATTAATATTCCGCACAAGACCCATCCTTTAACCTACATACACATGCTTGACTGTATGTAAATTCGCTACTTTGATCACCGTATATTTATGTTTATATAGCTTACGTTTTAATATAACCTTTCTAAAGGAATTGAGTATGAGGCTAGGTCTGTAAATTACGTAAATCCAAGGCTCAATGCGATTGCATCATATATGCACCTGATATTTATGTTTTTTCGTCCTACCGCAGGTGGCTGCCAAAAGCCAGCAACTCGTGTCGCAGTTCCACTACCAGAAGGATCTCGAGGAAGTCATTCGGGGGCATGCTCTATCGGTGCGTAGGAAGTGGGTAATGAAAACTTAGAGATTCTTTTAAGCATTCGCTCCGTCGGTTATATGGAATATTTGTATTAGGCCTTAACAAGGTTAGCACACTTGGTTATTCCTTCTATATGAACAAGTCCTCGGAATAATCTCTTTTTGGTATGGAATCAAAGACTTGACCTCAATATGACTCTAACTTGGATAGGTCGTGCTGTGTCTTTTTCCAAAGTACTTTAGTAATGATTCTTTAATTACTTATAACACTAATATTATTTTATTGAAAATTTTAGATTTAACACTTTTTTTTGCCAACGTTAAGATTTAAACCAGTAGGCCAATTAGTTATAATTACCACGACGCCCGCACAGAGATGCGCATCAGCCACCGTACTACTGATGATTATGATTAATTATATTTATAGTGAAATATATCTGAAATTGACATTGTAAAGTTTTTATCGTCCCGCGAAAATAAGGGATGAAGAATCCATTTGAGTTTGTTCTAAACATTGTCTTTATATGTCATTACCTGATATGATACACACCGAGACAATATTTAGGACTCGGTTTATTAAATTATTCAGTTTTAACCTTTCAATAAAATAAGTCACATTATCATTAACCTTATCTAAATAATTATTTTCAAAGTATATTTAAAAATATGAATGCTTTCGGACGATAAAGGTGGTTGATGACATAGAGACAATGCGAGTAAAGAAAATGGGCAAACTTATATCTGACGTTTCGTACACGGGAATCCTTCGGCGAAAAAAGAACATGGAGGAAAAGCGGGAAACTACAGAACTGGTCAAACGGCAGTCGTCATCCTCATTTGGTTCGTAACGGCCGCCATCCCTCGTAAGCAGGCAAACTTGATATTGACTGTATGGTAATAATAGTAAGTGATACAAGAATAGGATTTTTTCAGTGTCTTCTAATTTTTTTTAGGATTTCAGACTTTTGCAGAGATATTATTAGGCATTCAAAGTAATTTGTCTTTTTCTCCAGGCACGACAGCACTTTTGTACAATGCTTTTAACGGACGTCCAGTAACATTAAGCAACATTGAGCCGAACCAAGAAATAGGATCCATCGCCGACTTCGAACCTTATTACGATGAAGATGAAAAACCTATCTACACTTTGACTAGATACGTGTCTGGTTCCAGTTCGAATTGCTGGCGGAATCTCATTTATCACTCTAACGGTAGAAATGACTCTATTTGACTTAGCCATACGTACTGCATTACCTTGAGCATACATTATTGTGTGTACGGCCGAAGATATAACATTAATCTGATTCGGTCTACAGCACGTAAATGATTTAAGAAATAAATTCTGCTTAATGGTTAAATACAGTTACCAACAAAATAATATAAATAAAAGTTGCTATTAGCTATAAAACATCTATAAGACACAACGTTGAGTCTGTGCGTGCTTCACGATTGAATTTTGTAGGTTCAAACACATGTGGAGCGCGTAGCGTCGATAGCAGCACACCTGAATCCGATGGATCCTCACTGTTGCCGTCGCGACCTACGTGCGTATCCACGGGTCGAGTTTATCGTGCTGTATATGCTTACGACGCTCAGGATCCAGAAGAAGTCAGCTTCGACGAAGGCGACCTTCTCATTGGTGAGCGTTATACCACTATATTCCGTAAATGTTTATGTTTAAAGTGTACATCCATACAGACAAGGCTCCGTAGAATCAAATATGGCTTTTCGTCTCTAGAAAGACAAGCCTTGTAGAAAGCCTGCGACAGCTAAGTTGTAGAAATGCAGCCATACTTCTGGTTGAGGGCAATGTTATGTGCGTACCAACATTTAATCATTATGCTGTAGCAGTTTACTATATAGGCCCGGCTCTCTTAAATTAAATTTAATGTTAATATTTTGTGAATGCTTTATCACGCTAGTCCTGTTCCGTGTATTCCTCTTGTATGTCTTCTAGCTTACATTGTCTAGGTTGATCTTGTTCCGACAGGACAATAAAACATGCCACGAATCTTAGTTTTGTTCACAACATTTATTACATTATTGTAACTACGAGTAAGTGGTATTTTAGACTAAACTGAGAACTTCATTGACCTGCGTTACTCTACCGCTATACTGTGCCTCCATGCTAACTGGCAGGTGAGAATAAAAATGGTAAGCTTTTATTATATTAAAAGCAAGTGTCTTATTTTCTATGATCATCTACAGCACATAAACTCTATCGAGCTTAAGGTGTACAAACTTATAACTGGTCTTATGGCCTATATATACTGTTTTGGTTTATTATGCGTCGGTTTATAGTCATACATCATCAACCTGCTTACTAAAGTCGCAGGCAGATTTATGGCTACGCACTGAACGTCAGCGATGTTCGTTACCATAGAACACGTCACTAAACTTCAGCGATATCATCTAAAATAGCTTTTCAGCCCAGGACGTATTCCTCAATACTCATAGAGTTAAAAATGTACATGAAATATTTGCAGGCTGCACTACGATCCAGTCCGGATGGACAACGTGCACCGTTCAGAGAACGGGCCGACGGGGGTTAGCTCCAGCGATCTACATCAAGCCCGTATGAGAGCAATATTCACAAGTTTTTCGAGCGTCTGTCAACAAATTGTCATTGCAACGATGAAGGCACACGTCAGAATTGAAGTTTCCGTATGCCAAAGTATTGTTCTCGTTGTTTTCAGCCTTATTTCATGGCCTATTCTATAAATGTTAGGGTATGCAAGCAAACATATTCCTTAAGAAATTTAGTGATTTCTTAAGGAATATGTTTGCCCCACTGATAAAGGTACTATTAACTGAAGTCAACGTTAAGCTCTGTCTAATATTGATATTTATATGCAATGGGTACATCAAATGCAATAATAAATCGAAGACGTATTAGGTGGATGTGCTACGCCCCCGCAGGCAAAGCACATAAACGGTGCGTCGTGTGCCGATGAGCACTTGACTTGTTCTCAAAAACTGTCTTTTTTTAACTTAATTTTATGGTAAAAAATTTATTATAATAATAAAAATTCATAATAATAACAACATTGTACGTTGCCTTTCGTTACAACTAAGTGCGTGAAAAACTAGCTGAATTCGTAATCGTTCGCAGACACGTAAGAGTTGCTAAAACAGATATGTAATTATACGAACAAAAACTACTTTTCTACATGTTGTTTTTATTAAAGTGGTATACTATGTAAATTATTTGAATAGTAAAGTTAAGTAATTTAGAATAACGGCTTAAATCGTTTGGCGCCAAATGCCTCCGTTTGCATAACAATATCTTCTGGGATAGACATCTTGTGCAAGTCACAAGAAACGAGTAAAATTATATTTACGGATGAGCTTCGACGAAACTAACTAAGACGAAGGTCGAATCTCGAGGAGTGCCCTAATCTTGTAAAATCTTTCCCTATGCCGTGACCACAGCAGCCATAACCTTACATAGCCTAAACAAACGATTGTTTAGTATCATTTAATGTCATGAGTCGTACCCGATAAAATTTTGTTGATTCTAAAATATAGTTGGGACCATGAGCACTTCGGATCTAGCAGAAATTAGTTAGCAAATCGCGCACACAAATGGCGCACAGCGTCCGGAAGCTCACTGAAAAGATAGACTTTTATTTTTCCTATTAATAATGTTGCATTCTTAACATATCCACCGTAGGACAAAGCTCCGTTGGATACATTTAAAAGCATATTTTCATCAATCATATTAACAACAGCGAGCTTATCGTAGAAGACTTTCGATTCAAGCAGCGATTAAACAAGCACACGAATTAAGTACACGACTGATTGCTGGCATACCTGAGGCTATGCTTGCCAGTCATGCTCTGAGAACCTATTTCTCTTTCTTTCACACACAGAGTAGGGCAAAAGTCATTTGACAGACATATATTGTCAATGTTATCGTAAATAATGTATGTATGTACATGGTAGTTGATTAGAAAGTTACTACTACAATTCATTTTCGGAAAAATTAATAAAAAGTATGCATCAAATTTTGAATGCTTTGTCTCGATGTTACGATTGTGAATGGATGAGAAGCTATGAGGTATACTCATTTCAATTAGGCAAGAACTACTCGTGAAATAAACAAAGGAATCTGACGTACATGGTATACTTTCACCCCTCTGTCATAGCACACAAATCAATAGATACTTCGCTATGTATATACCTAGCATAACCCTAGCGAGGCGAATTCATCGTTCAAATAGGATATTTTTCAACAACGTAGCATTTGTTGCAATATTTATTTATTCATTTACTTTATTATTTTCAGTATATACAGTAGTACGGTCATGTGCTAGGTTTGAGATAGAACAGCGCTGCGAACTGGACCGTTCCTTCTTTCCCTGTCCTGTATGATTATCGTTTTATTTAATTTCTCAATTATGTTTTCACACACACACACACACACACGCACACACATTCGCACACACACACGCACATAGAGACACACAGACACACACACAC